ATTATGCCCACCCCTACCCAAAAGTAGTGTTAAAAACAAAATTTAGTCTCAAAATTAGTGTGAATAATGATATCAAATTAAAATTATTATGAAAAATACATATAATTTACCATTTTAAAAAAAAATTGGAACCCCAAAAAATTCTGTAAAATCAAAGAGGCCATTGCCTTAATTTATATCAAGTCGGCGCGGCCCTGTTTGGAGCAACAAAACAAAACAAAAAGATTGGAGAAAGAGTATTAGACTTTTAAAAACCTAAAAGAACATCTGTGTGCAATGCAAGAGATAACCCTAAAAAATAAATTGGTAAATAACACAGAGAAACAAAGACAGAAAACAACATAAATCCACCATAGCAATTCGGCGCCGTATTTGTTTAGAAGCGTAGCATGCAAGTCACCAATGTATCCCAATTCGGCCCACTCGTGGATTAGGTCATTCTCCTCAGCTTTTACATGATCTCTTTGGAACTGTAGACCGATTCCGTGAGGTAAAAGTAGCACATTGCGAGCCTATGAAGCATGAAGCTCCCACCAAAAGTAAGACAAGGAAGACGAAAAAGAAACTAATTTTTCCCAATCGAATGGACATTGTAAATTAGGTTTGTTTTTCTGAGATAGAGCATCACATGAGTAGTTTTTTTATAATTTATATATATAGTATGATAAATGTTTCTCCCGAGATACCCTAATTACTTTATGAGATAAATAAATAATTAGGGTATTATTATTATTTTTGGATTGTATTCCGATATAGGAGAAGTAGTATTTAAGTCTTTATTTGGACGTAAAAATAGGTTCTCTTTTTTTTTCATCTAAACATCATTCATTCATTCAATATAATACAAATGAAGGATACAAGGGTGAAATGCGTTGCTAATACACCAAACCGGCAAGACCTAGTCCGCCGAAGCCAAAAGCCTTAAAGGAAACCAAAACGAACCCAAGTTAAATTATATGAAAGCGACAAACAGAATAAAACACTAAAAAAAACCCCAAACTCAAAAGCTATAGACAATGAACCAAGGTAGATCAAACAAGCAATCCCATAGAATAAGTTGGATCTGATGCGCCAAAGAACAAGAGAAGAGATGAAACCAATCTCGTCCAAGCTCAAAAAATAACAACAACACAGGGAGAGTTGGAAGCTTGACCCAAATAGCCCAAAGCAGAACCACTAACATCATCACCACCACTCCAAAGGAACAAGCAAAACGAATCGATTCAAGCTCAAGGAAGGGATCTTTGACATCTACAAAGGGATACGACAAAGAGGATCACCAGCACTTTACCACGGCCTCGTCTACCAACTTTAGCCATCTACAGACAAAAAGTTAGCCACGTCCACGCAAGATAAAGGCTGAAGATCTACACCACTGTACAAACTTGATTCTACCCCAAACCCACATGATCCAAAGGGAAGAACTAGTAGATGCTCATCAACAATGTACCATCCAAATGACGAACCCAAAGCAGACACCTAAACCAAACCTAAATGCATCCTCCTCAGAAGGACAAAACCACGCAACAGAGCAAAGGGACCAGAATCTTACACCTAATTAGCCAAATCCAAACGAATAAAGCTCATCCACACTAACAAGAACCAAACTAACCAAACTAACAAGGACAAAACAAACGAACCAATCTAAAAAGCGATGGATCCAACTAGCCAAGACAACCAAGCATAAAGGCTAAGGCCGCAAATTACCGAACAAATTCGATAACCCAGAACCAAGACCTAAACACAAGATCATGCTCGAACTACACACTTCCGACCACAGCCACGGAGGAGAGACGGAGATAGGAACACAACCACCGAGAATCAAACCCAATCTGACCCGCTCCAAACACGATCTTCGACCAAGCAAGACCCCAGATTTAAGCAGAGGAGGAAAACACAAGCCCCAACACCTCGAAGACGTCGCGACTCATCCACCCTCAACACCCACGACACAGCCGAATCCACCTCTCCAACCCACCAAAACCGAGACAAAAATCGAAGAACCATCTCATTAAAGAAGCTCCGATTGCAGCCTAGACCCTAACAGCAACGAATTCAAAGCATAATACAAGGGGATCCGGCACCGGCGCTAAGAAAGTCACCGGTCCCCGGACCAAACGAAGCAAAACCAGTTGTGAGTACTGTAGCAGTCGAGAGAGGCGGCAAAGAGAAAAAAAAAGTTCTCTAAAACCGCTTACTTGTAAACAAATATTCATTAATTATATTTTGCATTTAAAAATTGGTAATAGTTTTTTGAAAAAATAAAAAGTGTGTTTGATGGGGGAAAAAGAACAATATACTAGTAGTTGTTATTAAAAGAAAAGAAAATCAATTACTCTCTATTTTGTTAAAAATGGAAATCCTCTGTTTTAGCTATGCTATTCATGTAACTACCACTCTTTCTTGTTCTTTCTAAGAGTAAAAAGTATGATTTAAAATTTCTTTGCATGATTCTAACCTTTTTTTTTCTTCTAATTTACATATAAATATGATAATGGGTTTGGCGCAAAAAGAAACCAAAACTATTGTAAAACATTGAGATGTTAAGAATCAAGTAGAGCTCACATTTGGAAATAAACCTTCATGGCTCGAAGATTATATAACCAACATTATATTGCTGCTGAGCCATGGCGCTATTAACACTCATACATATATCATCGAACGTTTTCAGACTCATAGCCAAGAATTCAAACGATTTAACGAATAAAAAACAATAATGATGGACATGTCCATTGTTTAAGGAAATTAGCACGAATCAGAAATAAAAAGCTTGGAGTAACATTAATTGAATAATCCAAAAGAAAATAGGAAAACGATCTCGAGTCTCATACATAGTTTGAAAACCTAGAAGAACACATGTCTGCAATGTAAAAGATAACCCCATAAAATAAATAGGTAAAGAATACCGAGAAACAAGCACTGAAAACAACATAAATGCACCATAGCAATTCGGGGCCGTATTTGTCTAGAAGCTTAGCATGCAAGTCATGAAGATATGTCGATATGGCATTCGCGTTGATTAGGTCACCAAAGTTTGTCGATTTGGTAAGCTTGTTGATTACACCACCAAAGTGTGTCGATTCGGCATCTTCCTTGATTAGGTCATCAAAGTCTGACAATTTGGCATCCTCGTTGATTAGGTCATCATCCTCAACTTTCACATCATGAATATATATATACCTTGGCTCTAATTGATCACAAATTAAATGACTCGGTAATTATCCTCAATATTGATATCATCTCTCGGGACTATTTCTTTAGAACAAACGATGAATGACTTAACGAGGCGAGCCTCTGAAGCTCCCACCAA